GGGCAGAGGGGCAGGGGGGCTGGTGGAGGGCACTGCAGGAGCAGCAGGTGGTGGCGGGAGGGGCCCGAGAGGATGTGTGGCAGCAATGACTGGCATCCAAGGCACGTCAACGTCACAGGGGCAGCACTGGGCTCAGGGCCAGCTAATGGAGCCCAGGGAGGTGTGCCAGGGTCGCATCCCAGGCAGGGGACCACCTCGACCCTGTGGGGATGGTGGGGCACCTCCAGAGCCTCAAGGTGGGGTGCCAGGTGGAGACCTGCCCCCCACCCGACCTGAGCAAGCCCTGAGCCTCCCCAGGGCTCCGAGTCAGCCTCACCAGGCTCACTGCACCCCTCCCGGAGGCCAAAGACCCCGGCTGAAAGGTAGAGGGGGCCGTGGAGCCACCTGCCGAGGAGGGGCCACCTGTCCACGGCACCAGAGTGGTCGCCATTCAGCACGCGGACTCCTTAGAGGTATAACTGGCATGAAGAGGGTGGCCGGTTAGACCTTTCAGCCTAATCTCAAATGTGCACTAGTGACCATAACCATGGCCAAGGGTTCCTTAGCTCTGCTGGGCAGTGGTAGTGGTCATTTCTGTCTGGTCCTTAATCAGGATTTTAGATTTTTTTGTTTTTAGTTTATTTATTTATATTCGGTGCTGAGAATCGAACCCAGTGCACCGAGCCCCAGCCGCAGCCCCCAGGATTCTGGATCTATCCCCCTGGGTGCCTCTTGTTGGGGACAGCTTGCTTTTGCTGTCCAGTCTTTGTAAATTCCGAGATTTCAGAGAATTGCATTTTCAAGTTATCAGCCAAAAAAAAAATACCAATGGCGGTTAGAAATTTGAATATGTTGTTTGTGATGATTGAGACGCAGTGCTTCTCTTCAGAAATTTATGCTCCTGGACAAAATTGAGGACAGAGGGCTTATTCCTTTTCAGTCTTTAATGAAAATACATATGAAACAGGTTGCCCGGGGGTCGCCTTAAGGCTCAAAATGGGTGTTTTTTTTCCCTCAGCACCTGGTCGTTATTAGCCAATTACCCGGAATTTTTTTTCTTTTGTATCAAAGATTGAACCCAGGGGTGCTTGACCAGGGAGCCACATCCCCAGCCCTATTTTGCATGTCATTTAGAGACAGGATCTCACTGCATTGCTCAGAGCCTCCGCCATTGCTGAGGCTGTCTTTGAACTTGTGATCCTCCTGCCTCAGCCTCCAGAGCTGCAGGGATTACAGGCATGTGCCACCACACGAGCTCATATTTGAAGATAGGGTCTCACTATGTTGCCTAGATTGGCCTTGGAACACCTAGGTTCAAGTGATCCTCCTGCCTCAGCCTCCCAAGTAGCTGGGAACACAGGTGCATGCCCAACGCCCAGTCTTTCTTTATTTGGAGAGTAGGCTGTTCATCTTGCTAAATAATTTTCAAAGGACTCTGCTTCTAGAATCTGCCAGTTGTTACATATTCTTGCAGATCAGAACTGGAGCATTCTGGGCAGAGCCAACCGCTAGTGCTGCAGGAGCTAAAAACTAATGTGGCCCTGTCACAGGGACACATGCCTGTAATCCCAGCCTCATGGGAGGGAGGCTGAGGCAGGAGGATTGCAAGTTCAGCAACTTAGCAAGACTGTTTCAAAATAAAAAATAAAAAGGGGGCTGGGGATGTGGCTCAAGCGGTAGCGCGCTCTCCTGGCATGCGTGCGGCCCGGGTTTGATCCTCAGCACCACATACAAACAAAGATGCTGTGCCCGCCGATAACTAAAAAATAAATATTAAAATTCTCTCTCTCTCTCTACCTCCCTCTCTCTCTAAAAAAAAAAGTAACACTCTTTAAAAAAATAATAATAAATAAATAAATAAAAAGGGCTAGAAAATGTGACTCAGTGGTTAAGTGTCACTGGGTTTGATCCCCAGTACCAAACAAAACAAAAACCCCACAAATTGATTTTTGTTTATTCTTATTACTGAATATGAATTTCTGATCAAAACACTGATTTGAACACAATAAACCAAATACCTATTTCTGCAAGTTGACTCTTCAGTTTTGGATCTTAAAATTCAAGTGACTGCTGGGTGTGACGGTGCACACCTGTAAGGGAGGAGGATCACAAGTTCGAGGCCAGCCTCTGCAACAGAGTAAGAGGCTATCTCAAGATAAAAATCAAAAGGGGGTTGGGGCAAAACTCAGTGGTAGAGCCCTTGCCCAGCACGCGTGAGGCCGTGGTTTGATCCACACACACACAGACCCGTTTGCTGGGGTCAGGTCTGGGCCCTGGAGTGGACTGGCTGGTCACATGTCCCCTGCCTCCTTTCAGATGGGAAGTGTGCAGGGTTAAGAAAATGGGCCGTGACAGGCAGCCCTCCTGGGCGGAGCCCACCTCCTCCCCTTCCCTGTCCCCCTGGAGCCTCAGTTTCCCCGTTTGAAAAAAGGGTGGAGGTCCAGCTGTGATTAAAGCCTCCAAACTGAGGAAAGCCTGGGGGGCAGAGGGGGCCCAGGGGCCGGTGAGGCGGGAAGGGCATCCAGAGGCCCGCGTCTGGGAGCTACAGCGCCCGGAGCCGCCCTGCTTCAGGGTGGCAGCCACACCCAGGGACCACCTCCTGAGTCTGTCGACACTGTGCCCTTCTCAGCTGTCCTCCTGAAGCCACCAGGCCTTTTCCCTTGGACAGCCTGGCCCCCTGGGGGACTGGGGACAGCCTTCTGGGGCTCGTGTGGCTGGCTGGTCATTAAGGTCCCTGGGGAGAGGAGAATGGAGCCTCAGGGAACCAGCCAAGGACACCAGAACCCTCACCCATGGGCCATCTGAGGTTGGCAGAAGGGACACGACAGACTGGCCCCCAGGATGCCCATGACCACGGGGACCCCGGTGCTGGGCCTCCCTACCCCTTCCCACCCGTGGCGGATAAGGCCACCTGGCCTGGCCTCGACCACCTGGTGGAGGCCTCCCCTGGAGAGGCCCACTCCCTGCTCTGCCCCTGGCTGGGCGGCCTCAGCAGGTCACCTGCTGGCTGCCGGAGGCCAAGCCCACCCAGGAGGGGCTGGGTGCGGGCAGGCGGCCTGGCCATCCCCTGACGGGGGCCTGCAGAACAGCAGGTCAGCGCCCCCCTCCTGTCTCTTCAGGGCTGGCTGCCAACCCCTCTGGCTCTGCATCCCCTTTGAGCAGGAGCCAGCTCGTTTGCAGCCGTGTTAATTAAGAGCGAGAGGTGATGGGGGAGGTGAGCGAGGCCACGGAGGGCAGCTTCTGCCAGCCGCCGGCACAGCCCCTGGGGCCGGGGGAGCCCAGAGCGGGACCTGGGCCCCCAACTGCACTGTCCTCCAGCTGGCTCCTGGGCAGAGCTGCCCAGCGGCCCCGCCCCCATCCCTGCGGTCAGATCTGCTGGGGCAGGAGCAGGGTCAAGGCTGCATGTGGCAGGGCCCACCGCTTGTTGGACAGGACTTGGCAGAGGCAGGACCTAGGCCTGGCAAGGGTGGAGACAGTCCGCCCTGACAGTCCCCCTTGGGGTCTGCCTGCTTGGAGTCAGTCAGACCCAGCGCTGACCCTGCTGCTACCACTGGGACCGCTCCGGGCCTTGGTCTTCTTTTCTGTAAATTGGGAACAGCAGCCCCTGCCCGTGGCCGAGCCGTGATGGGAAATGGGGTCGCCTGTGCCAAGCACTCAGTCTGCACCTGGAAAGACGCTCTCCCCAGCGGGGGCGGAGATGTGCATTCCTGGGGCACAGGCCACTCCAGCGCCCCGGGAGCCAGCCCCCCACAGCCTGCCCACAGCCCCTGGGGGCCACCATGCTGCGCCCCCGCGGCCGCTTTGGCCTGACTGGCCCCTGCCTTCCCGCGGCCCCGCTCCTGTTCTGGGAGCGCGGGGCCGTCCTCGCCTCTCCATCTTAATTAGCTGCTTGTATTAATCTCGCAGTAACGTGGCGTCTTGCAGCCCTGGGTTTCAGGCTGTGGAATTAATTATTCCCCAAGCGAAAAGCTGTCAGGTCTGGGAGACCAGCCACTCGGAGCCACCGACACCACTTAGCAGCGTCCACCGCTTCCGCACACGGCCCCGGGGCCAGAGCCGGGGGAGCCTCACGCAAGGGTGCCCCCAGGCCTGGCCGTGAGGTGGGGACGGACCAGGCCCCACACAGAGCCAGGCCTCCTGAGCCCGGGGCTGAGGCCCGGCTGGCCTCCCCACCTGGGGCCTGCTCACTGGACCTGCTCCCTGGCACCGCGTCCCCTGCTTAGCACAGAGGCACTCTGTGGGACCAGGAGGGGGAGGCCAGGCCGGGCTGGGGGCACTGACCAGCCCAGCCCTGCCACTCCGGAGGAGGGGCTGCCAGTCTCCTGGTGAAGGCAGGAGGAGACAGCCAGCCCAGCAGAGGCGGGTGGGCCGGGCTACTCTGGAAGGTGGAGGCCTTCAGACCTGCTCTGCCTGGTGGTCTGCTCTCGTCCAGGCAGGGGGCTCCGTGTCCCTCGACATTCACCCCAACCCCAGGAGGGGGCTGACCCACCTGATCCCACGTGGCGAGGCGGACAAGGACACTCCTCCCTCCCTGGGCCTAGCCGGCCCTGGTGGCTCCCAGGCAGCACCCACCACATGTGCAGCGGCACAGCTGCTCCTGGTGGCTTCCAGTCTGTGTCCCTGGTGGACCTCTGGGCAGGAGCAGGGCTTCCCTGTCCTCCCACCCTGCGTCAGGCCAGCCTCTGAAGGGCCTCGGGAGACACTGGGGGTGAACGGACGGTGCCTGGCAAGACCCTTGGCACTTGTCACTTGCACCCATGTGCAGCTGCTCAGGGTGAGCCGGGGCCTGTGTCCCCATCGCTGTCACCCTACTAACCTCAGGTCCACTGGGAGCCTCCATGGGGGAGGACTCCTGGCCCCTCTCCTGTCCACCATCATCTGTCCCTCCTCGGGCTGGGAGGCCCTGTGCCTAGAGCCTGAGGGCACAGGCTTCTGATGGGCCCCCCCCCCCCCCCGTCCCCACAGCCCCCTGTCCCCAAGCTGCTCTACACTGACCTTCTCTCTCTCTCTCTCTCTTGCAGCCAACAGCTCCCTGCTTGGAGGTGGAGGTGGTGAGTGGACCTTCCTCTCTCAGCTGGGGACGGGTGGCCTGGTGACGTCTCCTTGCCCCTGCTTCTCGGCCAGGCCCGGTTGCTGTCCAGCTCTGTGACGAGGGCCTGACCTGGGCCAGTGCTGCACCCCTCTGCCATGTGGCCTCGGGAAGCCCTGTGCCAACTGGCCCGGGTCCCCACCTATGAGGGTGACGTGACCATCTCTGCCCTGCGCTGGTGACCCAGGTGGCTCTGCAGCCAGGACAAGGTCTCATGAAGTCAGGGGCGCTCCGCCCACAGCTGAGACCCTAGGGCACTGGTCACTCACTGTGACTGATGTCCATCAGGGAGCAGGGACTGTGGCCAGCAGGAGGTCAGAGGTCAGGGGGGCCTGGTCACCAGGGATGCGGGCCAAGGCCAGTGGGTGCACGGGGTAAGGGGGCATCCGTGGCCTCCGTGGCTTCCTCCCATCAGCTGCCCACCAGGCCCCACAGCCCCTCCGCGGCGTGGGCCCTGCTGGCCCTGCGGCCGCTGTCTGAGCAGGCGGCAGGATGATTGGTGAGCCGGGGGCCAGGGGTTAATGCGACGCCGGATAAATCCCGGGGGCTGTGTTTACGGCAGTGGTGGCGGGGCCCAGGCCAGGTTTTAAAAGGGGGAAAATAAAAGGGGCAGCGGAGGTCAGGAATAAATAAGAGCAGCTTGAGAGCTGGGGGACCAGCCGGGGGGGGGCTGCTGTGGCTGGAGACTGTCCCCTCCCTCCCCGCTTCTCCTCTAGCTGTCCCTGTGGAGGTCACAGCTACCGGGAGGGGATGTGGCACACACTCAGAGGCCCCTCTCAGCCTGTTTTGGGAGGACTTGGGGGCTGTGGCTGATTGGCGCCTGCCGAGCTGCACCCACAGCACCCTCTCCTGTGTCCCCTCAGTCACCGCCTGGTGACCGAGTTCCCACTGTGTGCAGGCCCCAAGCTGGGTGCCAGGACAGTCACTGCTGGACATCAGTGGGCCGTCCCTGCCCTCCGAGCTCACAGGGCAGAGACAGAGCCCCCCACCACCCAGGGCGATCTCGGGGAGGCACGGCCCCGCAGGAGCTGGGCAGGGACACCTGTCCCAGCTGGGGCACCAGAAAGGCTTCTGTAGGAGGTGCCACTGGCACCAGCGAGAGGCAGGTAGGAACGCACCCAGGAAGAGAGGGAACAGCGCAGACTGGGAAGGAGGACGTGGAGCAGGGTCCTTGGAGCCTGGCCCGGAGGCAGGGAGGCCAGGGCTGGCGCAGGAGCCTCAGAGGCCAGCAAGGGGCTGGGTTCAGCCACTCCACTTGGGAAGGTGGGGACAGAACACCTGGGGGCGTCTCAGTTTGAAGTCAGCTCCTCTTCCTCTCCGAACCTCGATCAGAGCCAAGGCCTAGGTCCTTGTGCCGCAAGGTCCCCATCACCTTCCAGACTGTCCCCCCAAGTCCCTCCCTCCCACTGGGCTCCAGCCACCCTCACCGGCCTTCTGCCCCCGAAGGCTCTTCCTGCAGAGGTTCAAGTGGCCAATGCCCCCTTCCCAGTGCGGCCCCCCTGACCCCCAGCTGAATTTGCAGCCGCCCCGCCCCGCCCCGCCCCGCCCCTCGCCCTGCTCTGGTGTGGTTCTCCCGGAGCATGTGGCTCCTTCCAACACGCCACGGTTCAGATGCTCCTTGTCACCTCCAGAGCTGGGTCTGGCCCTGTAGTAGGTGCCTAGAGGGTGTGTGTCGAATGGCGGATGAACCGCAGGGACAGCGGGGACAGCGCTGAGGGTGGTGGGCGAGAACCTGTGGGTTTAGGCAGAGCAAGGGGTGGTGACCTCACGCTGGGAAGTCGTGGGCCACCTGTGCTGGCAGCCTGGGGCATCACGGGAGCCGCTCTGGCTCCCCCTGCGGCCTTGGGGGTGAGAGGAGGCTGGAGCCGACCCACTGCCTGACGGATGGGGCGCCCCGAGGAAGTGGGACCTGAGTCCAGCCTTTTAACGCTGCAGAGATTTATGGAGCCGCCAAGTGCTCTGCTCGCTGGGGCTGTCACTCTGCTAATGTGATGGGAACAAGGGAACAAGGTGGGATGGTGGGGAGGGGACTGTGCTGGGGACAAGGCCTCGGTTGGTGGGGGCCTGCCCAGCCGCAGGCTAAAATGGAGCCAGGCACAGGTCCCTGTGACACCCCTGCCCCCAGATCTGCCTCATGACTGCTGCCACCCCTGTCCCCAGCCTCAACCCTTGGCCGCTGTGTCCCCACCTAACTGCCTAAAGACCCTGGAATTCCCGTGGGCATGAAGCTCCTCCTGAGGGGTGTCCCCTCCCCAAGGACAGGGTTCCAGGAGATGGAGCCCCTAGAGCCGCCCTGCTCTGCACCTGCCCTCCAGGGCCACCTGCCTGCAAAGGGAGGGACAGCTGGCGATCCGTGGCTGCCACGCTGAGCAGGTGCCCGGGGCAGCTGGGGCTCCTAAGGGGGCCCAGGCCCTGCGCTGAGGGCTTGGGTGCAGTGGCCACTGTCTTAGCTACGAGCCTGCAGTGACTCCGGCTGAAGGAGGGGCTGCAGCCCTCCCAGACTCAGTGAGAGCCCCCAGGGCTGCCGGGGCTAGGTGGCAGGTGGCGTGGCCCACCCGGTGAGTCTGGGGGAAGCGCCCCACTCCCCATCCCTGCCTGGGGGGGGAGAGGAGGCCAGGGGACTCCGCCGTCCAAGAGACCAGGGGTGACAGGAGGTTTCCCAGCAGCTGGGGCATTAGACTTGGGTTCTGAGGGGCGGATAGGAGCTCGGCAAGGGTGGCAGGACGGCCAGCTGCAGGAGGGGCCGCACCTGCGGCAGGGGCAGCCCGGCCTCCCCCAGAGCTGCTGGCCCCAGGCCCACCCCTCTCCCCGCTCCCTCCTGGAAAGCCTTTTATTGGCTCCATAAAGGACTTTGAAACTCTCCTGTTGAACTGTGAGAGGGAGGCGGGTCCTGGATCGGGGTGGGATCGACAGGCCTGACGCGCGCCTCTCCTGTTTATTAGGACTGAAATGTTTACTTGGCGATAAGGAGCCGCTTTCTCGGGGAGATTTGTGCGCTCTTTTTCAATTACCCCTCGTCTTTCTCTGCCACTTTTGCACTAAAGGGATAATAAATGTATCGGAGCGTTTCAATTATTCATCTAAATCATGACTGCGCCTGCCACGGCCAAGCTTTAGTGACAGATTAATTCAGGGCCGCCTTCCTCTGCCTGCCTGTCGCCATCTCTGCTTGGGCCTGGCCAGCTCCCCAAAGGCCAGCTCCAGGGGGTGGGGCAGGGTCAGGCAGGAGGGCAAGGCAGGCTGGGGGGAACCAGTACTCCACACTCACACTCCCTGCCTGGGACTCCCAGAGGGTAGCACCCCGCCCACCTTCAAGAGCCAGCCTGCCGCGCCCCTGCCTAACGACTGTGCTCATCCCGGCTCCTAGGCCCTTGTCGCACATCCCTGTGTGTCCTGTGAACCTGGCCCCAAGGGTCCTCATGCCTGGGAGAAGCATGGTGGCTGGGCCTCCCTCATAGCCTTCAGCTGGCACTGGGCCTTTGCACATGCTGCTGCCTGAGAACCCCTCTGCTGTCCATCCTGTCCAGCTGTCACCTGCTCTGTGTTGGGGTAGCCTGTCTGGCCAAGCCTCAGCTCTACTTAATGGGGCCTCCTGGCATTGTCCTTGACACTGGGGTATGGTCACCTGTGCCTGTTGTGGCTGGTGTTCTAGGGCCTTGATGTTCAGATGTTTGTCTGTGTGGTTGTTCAGGAACTACCTGACTCCTGCCATGGGGCCACCTACAGGCATGCACAGGGCAGGCAGTGCTCAGCACAGATTTGCCTCTGGCCAGGCTGTGCCCAGGTGCCCTGCCCACTCCCCCTCCTCTGCCCTCCTCATACCCACAACCTGGGGACGAGGGCTGCACCGTTTCCCTCTGCTCTCTCTGGCTCCCTCTCCCTCTCTCTCTCTGTCACACTGAGCTATACCCCCAGGCCTTTAGTCCTTTTTTTTTAGTTATAGATGGACGTAATACCTTTATTTATTTTTACGTGGTGCTGAGGATTGAACCCAGTGCCTCATGCATGCTAGGTGAGCACTCTACCATTGAGCCACAACCCCAGTCCCCTAATTTTTTATTTTGGGACAGGGTCTCACTAAGTTGCTGAGGCTGGTCTCAAACTTCTGGTCCTCCTGCCTCAGCCTCCTAAGCCACTGGGATGCAGGCGTGTGCCCCGCGTGGCTTCAGTCATTCTTTATTGCTCTTCTCTGTCCGTCTCAGGTATTCTCTGCTGCCTTTCCTCTGCCTTGGTTGCTCCCATTTGTCTCTCAAACTGTTTCTCCTCCTCTCTTGCTCCTCCTCTTTCTCCCTGTCATATCCCCCCCATTCTCTGTTCATGGACAAGATTAGTGAGGTGTGTAAGCATTCAGACCCCAAGCAAGGGCTGCCTGTCACTCGGCCCGCCGCCCCTGCCCACACTATCTTGCCAGCCCTGCTGCTGAGCTGCGATGGCTTCCTGTGGCCTCCAGGAAGAGGTTCAGCTTGGGCCGCGCTGATGAGCTGCGGCCTGGCTCAGTGAGATAGATAATGCGGCCTCTGTGGCCCTGTGGGCCCTCTTGGTGCTCTCAAGACCAGGCTGTGCACTGCACCCTCCCTGGCCGTCCTGGGCTCGGAAGAAGCAGGTGGCCCAGGGCTCCACCAGCCAGTCCAGCCCCTGGCCGGGTTGGTGGGAGTGCAGGCTGCGGCTGTCTGGGAAGGGTAGGGGTGGCTGTGTTCAGCACAGAGGGGAAGGCCCAGAGGCCATCGCAACTCCCCCTCCCCCCCACAAGGGCCCACTGTGCCCGCTGTGGCTCATGCTTGTAATCCCAGTGGCTTGAGAGGCTGAGGCAGGAGGATCCTGAGTTCAAAGCCAGCCTCAGCAACTCAGTAAGGCCCTAAGCCACTTAGCAAGACCCTGCCTCAAAATTAAATAAATAAATAGATAAAGGGCTGGGGACCTGGCTCAGTGGTTAAGCACCCCTGGGTTCAAAGCCTTGTACCA